AGTGTTGCAATCACATGTGATTGATTGAATGTAGTTTACGACCACACAAGGATGTGTTCACGGTCAAGGGTGTTTATGAACATAGAAGAGTTTACGGCCAAGAACACATGATGTGTTCACGACTGAAACTTGATTCTATGAAGTGTTTGCGATCCTATTTGGGGTTCCTTTTGGGATGTCATCGTCAATATATAAACATAAGCATAAACAGAACTTACATTCATTATCACTAGTAATTTATATCTCCTTAATCTCTTAGTGTAATGTGACTTCATATCAACACCTATGATATAAATAAACTGAGTGGGTCAGGTTGGGAAACCTGGTGAGTACATAGGGTTTTCAACCCACAATAAATAAGTTTATTAACTTTATCAAACCAAACAAATCCGATTACACGTTCCCGTTATCATCACTTTACTCCCCTAAAACATCTAACACAAGGGACCTAGTCTAAGGACTTTCATCGGGGTGACAACACATGCTTCAGGGGTTCCTCAGAAACTCATGTCAAATAAGGAAACCATGTGGGGGATGGTGTACTGCTGGTAAACACACAGTTCAAATAAACATCTACATGTTGCGAGTTTCCTAGCGTTCCACTAGACTGACCAGAATAGTCTGTGGTCGTCATCTATACTCCGCTAGATGACTGGATCATCAATAACATCTATAACGAGGCCTCTCATTATTTAATTTGGTCACACAACAACTATTACATCTACCTATGTTTTACCCAACACATTTTGTAGATATAAAATACATATACAGTTTCAATCATTTAAAACATGTATAAAATTGTTCAGCAAACACAGACATCACTTCGTTACTTCTTAAAATAATTTCCTTCGACAAAAACATAGTATCATTACCACTATGGTTTAGTTTAATATTTATTGAGACTAATTAATAGTCTAGCTATTATTACTATTATATAAGCGTTAAACAATACTTATATAATCCATAATAATAGCCAAGTACTTATTATAAGTTCCTAATAACGTTACTATATTAAAACATAAGCTATACTCAAGATAGGGTAGGTTTAGCTCACTTACAGCGGGTTTTCTTGGAAACCGGGCTTCACTGGAGCAACATTTCCAAGCCGAAAGGCTCTTCTTCTTGGGGCCGTCAGGAACTCTAGGGCTTCCGCCTTGTGCTAGGGGGTTCCCTAGGCTTTTCAGGGGGTTTCGGGGCATAGAGAATGAGAGTATAGAGAGAGGAATGAAGGGTTAAGGTGTGAAGAATGAAGGAGAGGGGGGGGTCTCTATTTATAGGAGGCTGAAGAGGCTCACACATTGTGGCCATTTGATGCCCACGTCGTGGCCAGCTGGGTACAGCTAGGCACTGCCTGGTGCTAACACGTGGCATCGCATACATGGTGGAAGTCAGTTGATTTTCAAAAATCATAACTTTCTCATACGAACTCCGTTTTCGACGTTCGTTATATTCACGCGTAGGTAAGAACAAGATCTACAACTTTTATTTAGACTCTGTCGGCTAATTCTTAACTGATCTTAAATTTAACAGTAGGAGGAATTTAGGTTGTTAAATGATCGTGAACAATTCGTAACTCCTTCACACGGACTCCATTTTCGTCTATCTTTTTACCGTTGAGTTTCTATTAATGAGATCTTCAACTCTCATTTAGGTTGCGTAATCCCAAAACCGCTCAAACTAAAATTCGAGTTTCGGGTCGTACACTACTAAACCAAATCTTAGAAAAATCATTACTTCCTTATACGAAGTCAGATTTGGACGTTCTTTTTATGGACGCTCTCAGGTTAACGTATTCTATGATATTCATTTAGATCACTAAGGCTAAAAGTCTCTCTATCATAAATTCACTATTTACGTCTTCCCAGTGCCGTTCTGGTTCCGTCCCGAAACTTCGACGGGTCGTAACTTCTTCGTTATAACTCGGATTTCGGCGCTCTTTATATGTACGGAACCCTGGAGAAATATTCTAAAACTTGGTTAATATTATCTATTCTAAATAATCTTTTGTAGAAAAGTTGTTTTCGAACCCTATTATCTCTAAATTGACTAGCCCGGATCTACGAGAGTTACATTAATCATATAGAATTTACATATATTATTGAAAAGTGATATCCCACTCAATATTGCTCGTCCAATCATATAAGTCGATCTTGACACGTTATTTAGACATATTGATTATGCATTGGATGCACGTACTACTACAATTCCTTCAACTACAATTTTCACCGATGCTCCATCCTTATTTTTTGAGGGATTGCATATGAGTCTTAGTCATGGAACATAACAGTTGAGGGAGAGTTACATCATCGTTTCGAGGGAAATCATGTTCTTGAAGAAGTTTTTCTAACATTCCAAAACGATATCACATATCCTTTTATTCTAGCTACAAATCCAGACATGGATGATAACAAGAATTTAGATCCAAAAATCACCAGTTCTCAAAAAGAGTCATTCGCAGACTGTTCACATGCCGATCCACAACCACTAGAAGAGATCTCTAGAATTCATCAAAATCAAACAACTGACATATATACCTTTAAAATAAAAATTGAAAGAGATATTCCAAGACTTCATATTTGGATAAAAGATAATCCACACAACCAAATCATTAGTAATCTAGATGTTGGTTTATAAAATCGATCCAGAAAAGGTATTTAACAATCATGCCATGCGACCTTAGCTCACAAAAGGTCACACAACTCCCGAATTCCACGTGTTGAGGACATAAAAGGCTCATCATGTTTTATTTAGATATACTTCATATCTCTTCTCAAATTTTAATTTTTAAGCCATTTTGATTTCTTCAATAAGATGGATCCAAATTTTGTATTAAATCTTGATGATTCTCAAGATTATCAGAACTTTCAAAGCTATGAAACCTTATAGTTTTTTGCATATCCAAATCAACTCCTTATCATTGAAAATTTTCAAACCTTGCAAAACACTAGAGAAAACCCAAGAGGTGATAAATAGGATGTTGATGAAGATATCGTTGTAATGTCAGCATATTGTATCGTTAATGAAGATCAGCATCATGGAAAAAAACATCAATATAGGCATGATTGAATGAGCAATATGATGCAAATCTAACGGAAAACCTATGAAATCTTGGTAACATGAACATAGCTCAAATGAAAGGTTGTTGTAAACTACATAATGAAAGTGCCGGATAATGGTTTGGTGTTTACTAAGAAACATATAAAGAAAAAAGAAATTACTACCTAAACTTTTTTTATTTAGTCCAACTCCGTAAAGTGGGGTTATTCCATAGTATAGTAAGAAATTAGTAATTCACCTATATTATAGGTACGCTTGAACTTTGGTGTTACGACAAGAGTTCTCCCTTTCAAGAGTTCCCCTTTCAAAAATCAAAATACTTTATTTTTTGTTTTTATTATGTTGTACACAACTAAAAAGTTATTAATTTTAAATGGATAGTAAATAAACTTATTTTGAAATTTACATGATGAAATTTCATTTGTTTATTGTTTATGTATTAATTACAAACATTTTTTAAATTGGTTCAAGTCAAGAAAATTTAAATATTATTATTTTTTTAGTTATCATTTAAATAATACAAAAGAATATTAATTTCGAACGGTTAAAAGAATTTAAAACCCACGAATATCATTATGAGTACTACTAAAATGATATTATTAAAACTAAAAGCAAACTGTGAATAAAAAACAAAATAAATTAAATGTATGCACATAAAGTTTTATATTTTCACCATTTTAAATGAAAAGAATTATTCTTTAATATATATAAAAGGTTCTGTATAATATTTTTTTCCATTTAAAAAATGTAATATTTAAAATTAATCTATAGAAAACATTATAAGTAACTTAATTTGTGTTATCGTAATTAATTTATGAAAGTCTAAAATATGTTTTTTCACGTTAATTCTATAGAAACCATTATTCGATGAATTCATGTTTGATGCATTTTCGATCATTAATAGTTCATTCTCAATATTTGTTCGTACTAAATATGCTGCCGGCTTTTATTTACTTTATTTTATACAATTTTAATTTTCTTTTAAACCGCATAATACAACATATATTTTCTAATAAAACCTGAATCCATGACATGTAATTTGATATTGTCACTCGCTATGATTAGTATTATTTATGGCTTTTATGTTTCAGTTTCAACTTTTTTCACGATATATATTCATGTTTAGTTTTTCTTTGAAAATTATATTGTAAATAAATTATCATAGTAATGTAATTGTAATTAAGTTTAAAACATATGCTTCTTTTTAATCAAAAGTAGCAATGTTTTTATTTAAATGGAAAGAAAACAATTTTTTTTTTAAACCCCGATCAACTCAAGGTTAAAATCTGTGAGACTCGAGCATAAAAACATTTTTTTAACGCAAAATATAAAATATCAGAACTTAACACGTAAAAGCAGTTCAATACACATAACAATAAAAAGTTTATATTTTTAATGTGTCAAATAATAATAAATTGCTTTCTTAGTCATTTCCAATTTCTAATTATAACGTAATTTTTAATCTAAAATTATAATATATATTTATTATTACTTTAAACTAACAACATTTTCTTACTATCCCAAATAGTACGTTGAAAACTAACAGATATCTGTTGAAACTTTTTTACCAAATTAACTATTTGACGTTGTTGATCGTACGCATACACATACACTACTAGTCGTATCCGTCTTTTTATATAATAATAATAATAATAATAATAATAATAACTAGTCGTATCCGTATAATAATAATAATAATAATAATAATAATAATAATTAATGATAAGGTTTATCAAAATTATTGATATAATTTTCATCTTTCTTCTTTCGTACAACCAAACCTTCCAACAAAAACCCCACCATACCAACTTTTGATAAATCATTCCCTAAATCCAATATGGCATTGCCCTTTAAAGTGAAGTAAAAGATTTCCTACGACACCTGCTCATTATTTCAGGTTGTTAAGATTTCGTTCTTTTTGACAGGAGATTTTAAAGCTTCTCATTTAAATCAAGATCGACACTGATATAAAGCCCACTAATTTGAATAGCTTAATTCTCTGAAGATCAGGTTTAAGACATAGAAAAGTTCCAATGAATACGAGTACAAATATTATTAGATTTATCAAATGTGTCACAGTCGGAGATGGAGCAGTGGGAAAAACTTGCTTGCTTGTTTCTTATACGAGCAACACCTTTCCATCGGTAGGCTTTAACTCTAATTTCATCATTCTAGTACTATGTTTTTTACAAATGTTTTTTAAAAATGCAACATTTGAAAATTTTTTTTCAACAAGTTAACTACATTTCGCTTAAAAACTAAATCCGAGATAAATTATGAAACAAATAACATGAAATGCAATGGGCTTGCTCCGTTGCTGCTACCGGATTCTCTAATGTGGTCGATCGGGTTAGTATTAGTTTATAAAATATAAATTAAATGCAGTTTATATATTCCATACTTGCTTTTTTGATTGTTGGTTCTCATGTTATCTCATTTGGAAAAAGAAATTAATTTGCGTCTTTTTTTTTTTTCATTTTTTTTTTAATGAAAGGATTATGTTCCTACAATCTTTGACAACTTCAGTGCTAATGTGGTGGTTAATGGAAGTATCGTAAACCTTGCCTTGTGGGATACTGCTGGTAATACGATCAAACTTCCAAAATTCTTTCTCATATTTGTATTTATTTTAAATAAAATCTTTAATATTTGAAAAAAAAAACCATTAGCAAAATATAGGAGGATATTTAATTGAGAAAATTAAGCATATAACCAAAAGTTATTTGGTGTTTTCAACAAATAACCATGAAATTTTGAGTTTTGGAAAATGATCACGAGATCCGCAGAGAAGCTTTTGCGGATCTCTTTATTCTCTGAGGAACGATACAGAATACTGTGGAAATGACCTAACACCACTAAAAGACAAAAAAAAATAGGGTTCTAATAGTTCTGCAGAGGTGTCTTTGCGGATCTTGTGAACACCTCTACAGATCGCTTAAGGTCTCTGAGGAATGGGTAAATACTTAAAAATCAAAAAAAAAATTCTCTTAAAATTTTGTTCATACTTATTCATCAAAGAGGTTAAGTGATCGACAGATGTGTTTACAAGATTTGTAGAGGCACCTCTACGAAACCTTAAAAACAAAAAAAAAAAAAAAAAAAAAAAATTTCTTTTAGTGCTGCCGACTTATTTCCGCAGATGTGTATAAAGTTCCTCAGAAACATTAAGTGACCAGCAGAGCCCCTCGACGGATCTGATGGTCATTTTACGAAAATCGAAATTTCATGATTATTCGCTAAAAAAACCCTTAACTTTTGGTTATTTAATAAACGATATTTTTTAATATGTGCGCTAATGATACATATAAGAAATATTAATTAATCATAATTATTACCATAATTAAATGTTAAATACATTGATTATAAAAAATATTACTATAATTACATGTAAAATTTATTAATAATCTTCATAATTAAAGCATTTCACATTTAATTATGATAATATTTTTTATAATTAATATATTTCGTTTAAGATATATATTAGAAAATCTCTTAACGGCTATAACCATCAATCACCAAAATAGCCAATCAAATCGCATATGACATTTTCACCTGCGGTTTTGCACTCTTGGATTGGCTATCAGCATCATTCCCTAAATGTTTGGCTAATTTTTAGAAAGTGATTAATGATTTTCCTTGAATTTATATTATTCTCTTTATATTATCAATTTTTTAAATAAGCCGTTCATCCCATCCACATAAAAGTAGAAAAAATTACATATAAAAATGGATTATTTCTAATTTCATGCATTGCAAGATTGAATCAAACAGGACAAGAGGATTACAACAGATTAAGGCCACTTAGTTACAGAGGAGCAGATGTTTTTCTCTTGGCATTCTCTCTTATTAACAAAGCAAGTTATGACAACATCTACAGGAAGGTTCATCGCATTTGCATCTTTTTAAATTTCTAACAAAGAAAATTCAATAACCCATTTATTTTCTAAATCTTTTACATTGTATTTTGTTACTATATCGATCAGTGGATCTTGGAGCTCAGGCATTATGCTCCATCTGTGCCTGTAGTCCTTGTGGGAACTAAGCTTGGTAAGTTACATTCATCGAGATTCACCCATGTAGAATTGTTCGCAGGATCCTTTCTAATCATTTCATGTAGTTCTCTATTTTTCTAGCATGCATTTCAATCTACAAACCCTTATAAAATTATACTACAGACTTACGAGAAGATATGGAGTACTTGAGAAATCATCCTAACGCAACTCCAGTTACAATATCTGAGGTACAAAAAAGTTAAATGTCTTGCAATACTAGGGATATATATGACTTATGGGATTCTTAAAGTTGTCAAATACTTCAGGGAGAAGAACTCAAAAATATGATTGGTGCAGTTGCTTATGTTGAATGTAGTTCAAAAACCCAAAAGGTATAGGTGAATTTCACTTTCACGTTTTAATAACTTTTTTGGTTTTTGGGAGTATCCAAATCAATTTAACCAAAAAACGGTTTGATTTCATTTTTCCATAAAAGGAATATGCGTATGTTCATGGAGTAATATATTAGTGTAAAAGGGTAGGGTTATTATGCATTTTATTGATCATCCCATGATTTTCAAAATTGTTTTTCTTTATCACTAATTTCAGCACCAACTTGAGACATCAATTTTACGTAAAAAAGTATATATTTATAAAGGGCATAATTGTGATGTTGGTGGGATAATGTTTGGGTTCTACTATGCCACAACTCTATGGCCTTGTTCTGACTTCTATATTGCATTTGCTTCAGAACGTAAAAGCTGTGTTTGACACAGCGATTAGGGTTGGGTTGAGGCCACCAAAAAAGATGAAGAGAAGGCAACAGAAGCGAAGGCAATGCATATTTCTATAAGCAGTGTTTCTAGTTACAGCATCTAGTTTATTTTTCAACATTGTTGTATCTTTTACTAAAAGTTAATACGATCTTACGAATATTCTTAAGATACTAAGCGTTCATGTTGTTGGAGTTTCCGATTAAAAATGTTGTTTTTTAAGAAAATATATTTATAATATAGGTATAGTTTTAAAAGTATTCACCAAATAGAGGTATAGTTTCAAAATTTATATTTATCAAAAAAATTTAGTTTCTTTTAACTATTGTTAATGTTTTTTAATAACTTTCTTTTTTTATTTTTTTGTAGCCTTTTGGTAATAATGTTTATCAATTTATTTTTACAATCAACAATTTATTTTAGAAATAATGATTTGAAAAGATTAGGTACTTTAGGTTTTTGTCATATTTGGTCAATAAATTAATTTTTGTTCTTTATTAACCTTTGAACTTATTGAAATGTGTATATTATATCAATATAACCAGTAATAGTGAATTTTGTCAGTTTCCGACGTTGTTGTTGGCCAAACATAAGTTTTCCGGTCTTCTCAGGTCAAACATGATTTTCCAGGGTTATTTCCTCCGAACGCGATTTCACTACTAGAAAACTAAGTAATTGTGACAACCGTCAACTTTCGGTCAACTCAAAGTGAAATAAAGTCAACAAATCAAACCGCGTAACTCAATTAACCATTGTATATTAGGGTTTACATTATGTTTACTATTGCACAACACTCTATCTTAATGCAAAGTGTCACTTTGAGTCTTCACGCGTTCAGAAAATCAAAACCCTAATCAGGGTAAGTGATGGAACTACTCGATAAAATGTTATTACATACCCTCCGGGGATGTATAACACTCATAACGAGGCTTAATGGGTTTACCAACCTAGCATTACAAAGCTAAACACTCGTAAAGGTCACAAAAAATTCTCTCTCAATCTCTCTCGCCCTATCTCTCTCTCTCTCTCTCTCTCTCTCTCTCTCTCTCTCTCTCTCTCCCCCCCCCAAATATCTCTCCAATCTCTCCGTAATCTCTCTCACAACCTCTCTCAACTTTTTATAATCACTCGGGGCATCCCGACCCTTACTTTAGTCAAAAACCGCTCGAAACTAGAAGTTTATTTGAAAAGTAGCCCTTAAGGATCGAAGCCTCTTATAGAACCAAACTTACTCCTAAGACCGAAGCCACACTCGGTTTCGCCTCCTTGCAATTCAGCTCGAATCCAAGCACACTCGGTCCATTTTGCATTCGGTTCATTTTGCATTCAGCTCCCTCCTCAGCCAACTTCGCCTGCGAGACTTCTCGGACCGAGCCTAATCTCGGTTCTCATGGACCGAAACCTCGCCTCTGATCTCGGATTTTTGCAAAATTGCTTCTTTCTACCCGGTTTTCGAGTACTTTTGCGTTTTAAGCCCATTTTTCATTATTTTAACGTAAGATTTTCACCCAAACTCATATTTTGACATAGAAGACCCTATATATTCATATTTTAATCACATTTAAGGGGAAATGTTTATCTAAGAATAATATATATTGTGTAAGATATTGATTTGAATTGTTGACTTTTCCATAAAGTAATGACATAAGCTATCTCCCATACCCACTCTATGACAACCACCAGTCACTATTCATCTCTAGCTAGTCAACTATTTGTCCTCTCATACTCTTCTCCAACAAGTTATCTTGATCAAAGATGTAACATCCAAGATTTTTCAACCAATTTAAACTTTTCGAAAACAACACATATTCATTAATTCATTACAAAAAGGTTTTCAATTCATTTATTATCAGAGTATTTCTTAGAACCACATCATAAATACATAAAACATGAGGAGTGGTACGATCACACCTTCGCCTTGCCATGATATCGTGAAGTACCTGAAACAATACACTGAAAACTGTAAGCCCGAAAGCTTAGTGAGTTAACCCCAAAATACCAACCACAAATACCATACTCATAACATATCATATCATAAACAGAATAGCCATGCACTTCGGGTCTACTTTGTGACTGGTCCGCCGCAGCGGGCCATCAGTCCACCTGGTCCACCCTCAGAGTTTAGCAACATACATCGAGTATGTAGTGTGGTTGGTCTGCCCACACCGAGCCTTCAACCCACCTGGTCCACTCTTCGAGTCTACAGTATGACTGGTCCGCCCGTACCGGGCCTTCAGTCGACCTGGTCCACTCTTCGAGACTTGTCACGTCTGGTTCGCCCACGTGGGGCCTACAGCCTCTCCAGAGCGCTCCCTAGGCTTTTAGGATATCCGGTCCGCCCTGGGTATGTTGGCCAACAGCACAAAGCAGGACCCGCCTCAACCCAACCTCAGTCAATCAACCATGTGCACATAAACATATAATCGTATAGCAATTCATCACTAATAAACCGATCTAGCAGATCACATACATATCACACTCTAACCAGGATACCGACCTAACCGGTCACTAACATAGCATCATCCTATATACCAGGATTCCGACCTTAAACAGGTCTTTAACATATACCATCCTAACTACCAGGATGCAACATATAGCAAAGCAATAACAAAACAACTACCCGGATTTCCATCCGATAAAGGGCCGGCCTTGGTGTCTTAGACCCTATCAATATAGTGAGGATAACTCACCTCACAACTGCTGACTGAAGAGATGAGATCACGCTGCTCCAACCTCCGACACGAACTCCACAACTGATCAATATCAAATGACTAAACTCAATAAATACCAATAATTACACAAATACCCTTGGAAGTCAACTGGTCAACTCTTGGTCAAAGTCAAAGTCCTTAGTCAAGGTCCACCTTCCTGTGTTACCCAACTCGCCGAGTCGCCCCATCGACTCGCCGAGTCCTAGAATTTTGAGTCCCTTCTCGCTCAATTCACCAAGTCATCCCTCGACTCACCGATTTACCGTTCAACCAGAAAAGGTTAGGACGCCATGAACAGACACGACGAGTCCAAGAACAGCCTCGCCGAGTCCAATGGAATCTTCAACAGACTTGCCGAGTTGTTCTTCCAACTCGTCGAGTTCCTCTCTATCTCCATGCAACTCGTCGAGTACATCTATGTGACTCGCCGAGTTACTACGCGAATCATGCCAAATCTCTAGTCCGACTCGCCGAGTCATCCCCAAGACTCGCCGAGTCCAACGTGAAGTTCCATAATCTCGAGTCACAGAGCCACTCCCTTACTCCAAACACTAGATCAGGGTTCCTATGGTTTATTAGCAACATAAAGTTGCTACCTTTATGTGCTACGAAATGACCTATTCATCAAAAAACAAGTTAAAATGGAACATAACTCATTAGGAGTGGCTTTTGCATGGCTAATTAAAGGGCTTATTCACATAGAATCCATACGGAACTCAGATCTGGAGTTTCAACTCCAGATCTAACTCATGCATCTAGCTCCAAAAAGGTGGATCTAGAAGGAATAAAGCCAAGATGATGAATCCTTACCTCAAAACAACCTCCAACTGAAGAGTAAACAAAATCTCCTCAAGCTTCCTTGATCTAAGCTCCTTAGTCTTGAAGATTTCCTTCTTAAATCACTCATCCAAGCTCCAAAATGATCCTAAGGCTCTTCTCTTATGATTTTAGGGCTTCTAGTCCTCAGAGGGGTAGTAAGGGGCCGAAATGGGGTCTTAAGGCTCCTTAAATAGGGTGTAAACCCTAGGAATTAGGGATTCTCATTCCAACACGGATTCGCCGAGTCTAGCCTGTCGAATCGCGAGTTGGTCACTAAGCATGTGACCAAAATCGCCACTCGACTCGCCGAGTCTATCCATTGACTCGCCTAGTCGATCCTCCTTAATTACACCAAGCACCCTGAACTTGCACTTCTAAACTCGGGGTGTTACAATTCTCACCCACTTAAATTAGGCTTCATCCTCGAAGCCTGCCGCAACACATCCTAGATGACACTCCCTCAATACAGCTCCTGGTCTCAACAGACCCAGGTTCCTCCGAACATTGCTATCAAACCTCTATAAAGTCCAGCTCTTCCCTCCCAGAATTACTACAACTGTTTCAAGTTGGCCACATGCTTCTTTCTCTGATAACAACCCTTATTAACCAATGATCACCCGATGATACTTTCATTACTCCAATTCACAACAATCACTTGACCCTTACCAAGCTAGATGTCACCCTGAACCACTATGTCCTGACCTGGTACCAAGCTGTTACCCCTTTCCTCGATTGGCATATCCTTTATCGAATTCACTTCTGAGACTCATCCCGCTTTCCTTTCCGAAACCAACTCGTTTCTTTCCGAGCTAACAAGATGGCACGTCCTTTATCTCCTAAGCAACTCCCATGAGCTCTCCCCTGCAACCACATACACATGCTGAACTTGTACTAACATCCTCGGGCTGGAAAAGCCAACACACTTACGATACCTTCAAACATCCCCAGGAGGAATTATCGCTACATACATAACTTCCTGATCACAACCATACTGGAAAATGTAAGGCTCCCTCCTTGCATCCCCTCCGAACTCCTCTGGTTCTACACTACCGAAAATCCTTCCGCAACCTCATCAGACACCCAACCCAGATGTGTTTCCATACCACTGGTACAATCCCAATACTTACTACCAATAGCTGAAGCACTGCCGATAATCCACTTACTCCACTTCCTCCTCTTTTGGAGTACCCACACTCCTTCCGGAGCTACATGCCTTTCCTTCCTAGGAAATCCACTCAACAACCCCTACTGCACCTGTACGTGTCACTAAGCTACACTTCACTCTACATTATCCATGTAGAGCAATTGCTATTCTCGAACTTCCATATACCCTAAATCTGCTCCCAAGGACTCTCGAGTCCAAGCACTACTTTCCACTAACATGATCACTACTTGGCGCCATACCATATCAATTATCATCCACTGGTGATGCTTTTCCTCATTGTCCTTGTACCGATCCATTAACACATAGAGAGTCATTAGCATGACTGGACCGCCTTACCAGGCCTTCAGCCTATCTAGACCACTCTCGGAACCTTCAACATATCTGGACCGCCATCTTGGCCTTCAGCTTGTCTGGACCGTTCCCCGAGCCTTCAGCCTGACTATTACGCCCACAGGCCTTCAG